ACATAAGCGTCGTTAACAGGACAAATTTAGTGGTGATCCGTGGCTATTTCCCTTCGTCCGAATTCGAAAGTTTCACGGAGCAATGGAGTTTTGATATCATTCAGGGAACAGCAGGAAAACACTCGTATACGTCGTGTATCCATGCAAAGAAACACCCCGCGACAATAGGACCCAGCGGCAAACACAAAATGATTGCAAATTTCGGATCACAAAAATAGACATGGGTAATACTGTATGAGATTATTTTCTAGGAGGAATACTATTGCAAAATTGATCACCTTCTCTCAATGATATACGATGTAATTTCATTTCGAAGACACAACTTTTTCGATTTTAATGCCATCTGTGAACTCACCCGCTTACAACTTACCGTCTGGCAGTTTTCTAAGCCGACGGATGTCTGAATAAAATAATCGACTTCTGTATAAACCAAAAAGTTTTTACTTTCAGTTGAAAACGCATGGATGAATTTATGAAAACGAAAAAAAAATCGAAAAAGATTTGAACATTCATCAACTTTTGAACAATGGAAACACGGCGCATTTGATGCTTCACATCTTCGTAACATTCTGGACGGAAATGGATTTCACATGTCCTTGAAACACAACGATAAAATTACCAAACCGGGTCTTGTTTTCGCCCAGTTTTCTTTGAAACGTCAAAATTCAACATTTCGAAAATTTCTCCAACCGAAACACTTTTCGAGATCGTATTTGACTAGAATATGAATTCGCAACGTCGAAAGCGGTTTAATTAGGTCAGAACACATCAAACGCTATCTGCAGCAGAAGTCGCTATTTTCAAAATGAACTTCTAATGCCCAATACAGTGCTGTACTTTTTTTGAGTACATGAGTATGGATGCCTCGGCTGTTTCAATACCAACTGAAAACAGACTGACAACGATTGAATGGATGGATTACGATGATATCCGAAAGGATGATGGGGAAAATTGCATTTGGCTGCGATTTCGCGATTGCATTACAATTTTGTTGTACTTGTGCGAGATCGAGATCTTGGTATGACAACATCCGACGCAGCGGGTGACACTGATCTACATATCAAATTAACGACCTCTTCACGGTTCGTCGGCAGTGGCATTGACACAGTAGAAGTCCTCCTGCTCACATCATAGATCGAGATCTTGGTATGACAACATCCGACGCAGCGGGTGACACTGATCTACATATCAAATTAACGACCTCTTCACGGTTCGTCGGCAGTGGCATTGACACAGTGGAAGTCCTCCTGCTCACATCATTAATGGCATCCATTCCACCCATCAACGGTTCTTCTTCCCTGCAGAACAGAAAGGGGATTCAAGCCGTCAATCACCGGAAACATAGAATGCTTTTCGAATGTAACACTTACAGATCTTTACAGTACACGAAAGTTATTGAAAATACACCTCAAGTGTGATCAATTTCACACCTGTTGTCCCTTTTCTCATCACAAGACTTGTACCATTAATGTTTCACAAAGTAGAGCCACAAATTATCCTCAGAATGATTTCCCCCTGAGAATGGCATCCTTCATTGACAGAATGGGTCCCGCCCCTTTCATTCGATTGGCAAATACATAAACTCATCTGAGAAAAATAATCATCCGAAATATGAGGAGCACAGAACAAAAAATTAATGGAACCTTAAGGGCGTTTCTGGCTCGAAGAAAATGGCGAAGGTATTTGCACTGCAGTCTAATTATGTGCTCATTACGCGAGAAAAACTCACCCCGACAGGTGAACAGAAATGAGTCTGATTGGAATTTATTTTTGAGATAAAATTTAATTGAACAGGGTGGCCAGAAATTTTTTATTACAATACTTCGAAAGCGAAGAAACATAAAAAGTAGATGTGTACTAAAAAAAAAAGTTCAACTAAATCACTTCTGAAATTAGTTTTCTTCTAATTTCGTAAAAACAATGGCAGAAAAGAGAAAAAATTTTGATAAAACATTATCCAAAAACATCAAGTAAGACCTGAATTTAGTCTAAAAATTCTGACTCAACGAGGGGTTTTCATTCACAGGCAGAATGTATTGGGTATTGTACGAATACGGTATAAAATACAGGATCAATTTTTTCATCTAATATTCCACAAATCTGTTCAAGAAGGAAAATATCATAAAATCGTCAATCAGGTTGGAGAAATTAAGCTAATCAAAATTAAAGCTTCACGCCACTCAGATAGACTGATCAGAACTAGCAAGTCAATTTTGTGTGATGTTTGAAAATTCCATCAAACTTAGCTGATTTCTCTTCCGATCCGGAAACGCGTGTTTTTCTCTTCATAGCCCAAATTTTTAAAAATCAGGATAGACCCTATTTTTGGGGCGAACGTGATACAGTACTTATATTCTGAAAAGAAACACGAGCAACCCAATTCGTGTAATCGAAATACCATATTCACCCGAGTACCACAGGCATCTTTTCTTTTATTTATTTTTTGAGGAAAATTTGAGGGAAAACGAGGTGCGCAAAATTGTCGGGTACAAATTTGCAAGAGAGTTTTTGAAAATTGTAAACTATCTCCCAACTTTCGATTTGTTTTTTCAGACTTCTCCGATTTGATATTATCACAAGTATTATTTGCATAAAACAAAAGTATCGCCATTGAATTAGATTTTTCAAGTGGGCATGAATTTATATTTCATCCGACACGACTTTTAAAATAGGAGTTTTGATTACTTGAAACTAAAATGCGCGTCTTACTCAACAGCGCGTGATACTCGAGTAAATACGGTTCAAAGATCGCCGAACACAATGAACAATGGATATAAATGATTCAACTACTGTACCTGATTTCCGGGGCGAAACACTTCCCTTTCCCGACATCATCCTTGAATTTCCCTCCAACAGAGAAATTATGTTCTTCCACGAACGAAGGTTCGATGTGAGGCGAAGGTGAGGCACCAGTCAACATTCGTTTCGCTTCAAGCAACTCGACGACGCGTTTTTCAATCACGCTCAAATAAACCATGGCGTTCGCCGCGGACACTTTCGTTTGCCCACCAAGCAGTTCAATGAGTGGCAGGCCGAAGGAATCCGCGATGGCGAAAAGGGCCTCGATTTTCCACAAAATGTCAGAGAACAACGTTTCGGTGCATTCGAATTCCTGCCAGATTTCTTCCGTTTCAACCTTTGCTTTCATCACTCTTTCCTGGCAGGATAAGTAAGAGATAAAAATGAGTTAAGAGAGGAACTACGAAAGCAGAAGTGATAGAGTAGATAGAGAATCATACCTCCATTGCGACACGTTCTTCCTTTCGATCAGTCTGAGCCAGATTACCCCGATTTTTCAACTCCGAGATTTCTTGCTTCACTTCAACGATTGCATCCTGCAACGAAATAAGTACAGTTCTTAATTCAAGTTTTCCACAAAATACGGCATTTCACTTCCTATCTACAGAAGACTTGCTTTTAATAAACAGAACGCCCGCAGCTTGTATGGATATTAAAGAAAATGCATAAAATAATTACGGTCAACCCTTGCTTTGGTGTCATCATTTATCCTGGCAGGTTGTGTGGCACTAAGCAGGGGTGGTACTAAAAAGGGATATTGCATGCGAGTAAAGGTTTAGTTGAGAGCCTCCACTATTGGCAATACTGTATATGCTTGTTTGTAGAATTCTTAGGCCATTATGTCTGTTTCTACAAGAGAGAAAACCACAAGAAACAGTTTAAAGCTCAAATTCCATGTTTTTATACAGTACTGTACTGTACAGTATTCAATTTACTTAATACAGAATGCTGTACTGTGTACAGGTGACTCTCTCTTTACAAAAAAAAAAAAAAAAAAAAGGAAAAGCAAAAAAGCAAAGAAAAGAAAAAAAAAAAAAAAAAAAAAAAAAAAAAAAAAAAAAGGGACAAGCAAAAATGCATTGTAGGGAGAATTTTGTGGTAAAGAACCCCTAAAACATGGGGAGAGAATCATGTGGGACCAAAAAAGATTTGCCATGAAGAGAAAATTGTTGTAGAGAAGATTTTTTTAGAAAGAGAGAGAGAGAGTCCACCTGTGCAGTATTTGATCCTAACCCATATTGTGTCAAATAAAAGAGCAGAGCTGTTCCTCAAAGTTTTTAGATACCTTTCAATAAAAGCACACAAGTTGAAGATTATAAGTTGAATGATTATACTTTTTGAAAGAGCTATCCTTATTAAGAAAATTCTCTTCATTGTGGAGGACATCCAAATAATACCACCCACTGTGACATGTAAATTCAGAAATAAGTTTTTTAAAATTTTCCTCAAGCTTTCTGCAAGCATGGTAATGTGATTCTCAGTAATAATTTGATAATATCCTTAGAAAAGACTTCGATTGCTTTGAATTTGGTCCATTCTTCATGCAGAGAAAAAATTTGCATCATAAGTGAGTTGGCACTAAATTAAAGTTTGTGTTCAAGAACACAATAGAGGGAGATTTGTTCCAGGGAAATTTGTGGCACATTGCAAGGGTTGCATTAAATCGAGGGTTGATAGATTTCCACCTCTTCAAGGTATTTTCAACATAATGTATCCATCCTAAAATCCAAGTATCCAACGAATTTCCGCGATATTTCAACGCTTGAAACAGACAACAAAATCTTGCCTCCATTTCAGAAGTTGAGTTGCTGAGCTCATTGATGTACGAATAAAGAGCCATATTTTCTTCCTCTCGCTTCACAAACCACGATACCAAATGATCCGCATCGGACATTGGATCTTGTCCCACGGCAGCAGAGACTTCTTCTGAACCCGTGACCAGAGACACAAGCTCGTACAACATCTTCCCGCAAGATGTCAGGTCACTGTAACTGACTCGCCGACCAGCAGCCCACTTTTGGTCGTCAGTAATGGTGGAATCCTGTTGTCTGGCTTCGTGTTTCATAGTCGTGACAGCCGTCGCAGCAAAGAAAGGGACGGCCGGTGACGGCGTGCGATGCAGGTGCGACGGAGCGATCCGGGGAGCAGATTTTTGCATGAGGAACTTTTCCAGTCGAGTTTGCTCCGTTAAGATTCGTCTAAGATGCTGAATTTCTGCAGCTGAAGACTGGGCCTCTTCCGTCTCCAACTGTTTCAGCGTTTTCAGTCGCGACTCAATTTCGTCCCTAGAATGAAAACGGCGAGACCGAGCGACTCCAATCAGATGATTACTTCGATTGAACGCGAAAGAAACGCGTGGGACATCAATATAATTAGTCAAATTTCCCAAAACCGAAAACTAAGGAATCGCTCGAGTATGACGCGCACATTTCCTCTAAGAATTCAATGAAAAGGAGTGGTTTGAATCATTCATCAATATTTTTTTTTTAATTTCCAATTTTCAAATAGAGTTACTGTATTTCAGAAACTAAGGAAGGTACTAATTTTAATTCAGGTTCAAATAAAAATTAAATACGATTTCGCCTCAAATGCACTCATTCGAAGTTTTAAAAACAACTCAAATCTGATGAATAAGTTGTGAAAAATTGAATTCTAACAAAGTCAGGAGGAATGAAAAAAGACTGGAGTTCCATACTGTGTATCATATTGAAGCTCATGAGTCAAATGTATACGGCAATACCAATAAATTGGCTTTTTTTTAGCTCACATCATTCAAGCTCTAATAAAATTTTAAAATTCTGTGAAATTTTAACAAAATTATATGATACCACGAGGTCTGTTTTTCTCAACTCAAACTCATTTGCAAAAATTAACTTTCAAAAGAATGAAAGCCAGCTAGCGGTTTCAATATTTAAATAGTTAAACTGTTATTGAAATAGATTTGGACCTTTCAAAGCCTTTCGAGGAGCAACAAAAAATTACTCTTATAGAGGTTAGGAAAACTACGGCTAAATATGCTTGGGAGTTGGGGCTACAACGAAATACGAGTCAGAGAGGCTTTCCACGCAGTAAAGGTCTGAGTTGCGGAGGTCTCAAGTCTGACTGTATAATAAAATGCCTGTATCACTAGATTGCTTTTCAAGTCACAAATTTTCCCTCTAATTAAAACAAAAACACCTGTAGCGCAGTTTGAATCGACGTTTCTCCGTTCTCAGGCATCTTTTGGTTTATTTGTTTAATAATTACAGTACTGCAGTCACAATCGGACAGGATAACAAATCAACAATATAAAAAAACACTAACGAAAATTAATTAGGACGCATAGTAAATACGAACAGTTTCACTAGTGCGTCAAATTGAGGAGATTAACGATGATTCATCATATTTTTTTTTTACCATCTATGCGTTCTCCGAAACGAAGCCCTGATATTTGAACTTATTGTCAAGGACGAATAATACCGTAATGTGCCGACAAGACTCACCGTTGGTCGTAAATTTGCGAGACCTGGTTCACGATATTCTGTAGTTGCTTGGAGCCCCTAGCGAACTTTTCCGTTAAACGTTTCGTCATTTTACAGTGCGCTTCCCTGTCTCTCATCAGTTCCTCGATTTCCTTCCTCAGCTTTCCGTTCGAACTTAGTTGACCATTCAGCTGCCTTGTCGCCTAAGAAAAGCTTGCGTTAAGAAGAAACTTTACAGCGTTATTCTAATAAATAGTTCTCACGTGTTCAACGCGATCTTCAAGCGCAGCAACACGTCTTCGCAAATCAATCCGCTTTTTTCTGTTGGTTGATTCTCCTCCAATAGATGCCTCAACATTTCGTATTTCGGACTCCACGACACCATTGTTTTGTAAGAGTTTCTCTATCTATCAACAGAGAACCTGCATTTAAATCCTTCCTTTTAATTTGGTTTTTAAGCACTACATATAAACATTTAAACTATCCGACGAAAATATCAGAGCTTCAAGGACGAAATTTCGATTTCTACACAAAGTTAAAAAAAAATAGGTTGCGCAAAACCATCGTTCCTTTTTTTTTAAATCACATCCTCCAGTCACTCAAAAAATTATACCTAGGGATGCAATCGACAGCAAAAATTCAAAAACCAGCAGAAGTGAAAATCAGAATTACGTAAAAATTTAATTTGCCCCAAAAAACTTGGAAACTGTAAAATTCAACATTGACAATGCAACCTAAGGCATCTGGAATGTCCAGAAGCGGTCTGGAAAAAAAAATACCTCAAGAGGTGCTTTGAGTTTTCGTTGGATAAACGGGTTTTAAAAGAAATTCACACGAATGGCACCTGTCAACTCACTTGCAATTCTGCTTTTTGGATGGCCTCCAAGTACCCATCGTACTGCTCCAGCAACATCGACAATTTCGTCAACTGTTCATGTATCTTTTTATTCACTTCCAAAGAACTACATGTTTCCAATTGAAGTTCCAGCGTTTTCTTTTCATCTTCTAGTCGTGATAAGATCGACCTAGGGCAAAATATGAGATTAAATCGTTAGGAATCAACAGAAATTGTTTTTACAATAATCCTACCTTTGAAGGCGAATAGAATTACTAGTAGAATCTATGTACGCTTTCCGGTCTTCTTCCATCACCCGAAACCGGCGTTGGACTTCCACGGGATCCAAGTCCCGAACGGCTTCTAGATCCTCCATAGTACGTTACTTACAAAAATTGTTGACTCAAAACATCTGGCAATGTGAAAGAACAAATACAAGCTCGCTACACCACAAACGAAAACAACAAACATCAAGACATTGCAACGCAACTCAAGTCAACATGTATTCCTCGATATAACCCCAAAAAAACATATGGATATTCTTCTGCAGCAAAAATATTTTTCAATACGGAAAACATCCGGAAAGTTGCACCGGAAAAAAAATCCCATCATGCACGCAATCAACGCCGAGATTCTCACTTCGCCAAATGGTTCGGCGCACCATCAAACACATACTTGAGCCTGTATGCTTCTGCGGTGAGCACCTCGATCTCCTTTGGCGTCCAGTCCTTGGTAGGTAAATTCTGTAGCAGAAGCATTAGACTCTGGAAATCCATCTGCCGCAGCAACTCGTCCCTCCAATGGAACAAAAACGCCGCACAGATGTACAGATAAAACAACCCGAATCCCTGCGGCTCGACGAGACACGTGTCCCACAGCCGCAGAGTACATTGCAGGGACAGTTCGCGAGTTAACAAATTGTTCATCCATCTGAACGCAAACTGCAGGTAGTCTATATCATGGCGCGCGATGTGGGCATGAAGAGTTTTATCAACGCGCTGAACAAGATCAGCGAGCTGATGAATACGCTTCTGAATCCCGGGCTGGGCAAAGGTATAGTGGTCTTGAATTCCACTCAGCAGGTGCGAGAAACCCCAAAAAGTGTCCGCTTCCACGGAACGCAGCGCTTCGGCACTAACCACTTTATCGACATTCGGAGGAGAGTTACTCGTGAGTTCCAAACACCTCTCAACGTGTTCCGAGATAAACACAACGAAGAATGGCGTCACGAGGTCGTTGATTCCTTGCACATATCCCGACGCCGGGTGGCGGATGGCCCATATAAATAGAATACGTTCCAAGATTTCCTGCACAAGAGGCTGCTGAAATAGTGGCATCAACGGCGCCATCCTCGGAATATCAATATGTATCTGACGGTACGTCTCGCCGTTCTGTTCATCACTCCGAGTTTTGTAATAATTCTCAACGTAGTTCCAATATTCCTCACGCTTCTTAGTTGCCACAGATTCCCAACGATCACGATTTGGAGGCACATAATCCGACAACAGCCGCCACACGTCTGGTCGCACAGCACCTACCAAAAGAACACATCAATTCAATACATAAGAGAGAAGTACCCCTGAGAAAAGGACCAGACGAAAGCAACGGAGAGAGAAAAAAATTTCCCATTTTACAGGGATCTCATAATGATGGATTTCTGTTTCGTGATTTTGAATCAGTTACATTTGAATGCATCCCTCGTAAATCATGTTTGGCAGGAAATCTCATTACAAATATAACCTTTTCACGAATTTCACTATTCATGCTCGTGGGACTACGCCGAACTTGAAAGAGAAAATAATTAAGTCTCGCTAAAGAGACGTAATAGATACAGTGAAAAAACTGGTCTTGCTTCTCGGTGGGTGTTTTGGTCATCACTGCTTTTAGCATGGGTGCTTATCTTTATTCAACTGGGATGTCTTGTCAGACAAGAAGCAGCTCATACTTGGCACTCCCGACCAGCTCAGTTTTTTCAATTCTTCCATGTTGATTGATGATGATCCTTCGAAAAGGATTGTTTGAAACTTTTGGATCCTCAAAGCTTCTGAGCTTGTTTCAGATTCGGATGAAGTTCTCACGGCAGTAGATCCTTGTCCGATGGGACGCGGAAAACCCGGATAGTGTTTAGGATGTATAACATGATCAGGCAGGCGAGGGACAGCATCTTTCATCGCCAGACGCTGCAACGCTTCTGCTTTACCTGATATACCACGTGATAAAAATGCATTTATCTCATGAATCTGGGATGAAACACAGTATATTGTATCTCACCAGCATCGGTACACGCATTTGGTTTGACACTCAGGGTGGACTGTTTGTGTGACTCCAGAACCGAAAGAGCCGCGGAATGAACTTCTCCCGGTGAAATAATCATGTCACCGATGGATAGATTGCAAAATTCATCGTCCCCAATGTCCCAGGCATCGCTGACGCTTTCGGTGAAGTTCTGAAACGAATCTGCATCAGCTGCCTTCGATTTCGAAGCGGACTTTAACTTCGGTCGGCCAGGAACATTGATCGAACCACGTTTCCACAAACTATTTTGTTTTGGCACAGGAGTCGCCGGCTGTGAGCTCATCATTTGTCTGCTGTGTCAAAGTTCCGAAAAGTTTGTAAAGCTTCTGACACTTGTGCGCAATCAATGATGAACTTCGCGGAATTCACTCCACCATCACTGAAAAACTGACAGTGGGGTGCGACCGATGCAATTTCAGAAAAATCTCGTCAGTCGACGAAAGCCAACCGTAATCAATGAACACATTTCGGACAATATACCGCTTCTCAAAGCCACATCATGAAGCACCCTTCAGCAAGAATACACTGCACTGTATTTTTAAATTGCCGAACATCGACGTTATGATCCAAAACAAAATCCAGGCTGACTATAATAATCTCAACACACGATCCGAAACTTGAACACGTGTGAGGAGTCAAAGCAAGCGGAGTGTGACAAGAGAAATGTTAGGTGTCGTTCCTATACCACGTACATTTCGGGAAGACGATGGTACTGTACTATGCCCGGTGAACTTCACAACACAGTACAGAACATCGTGTAAATACCATGATTACTATTACTAAACCATGTATAAATCTACGAAGCAAGCAGACATAGTTTAAAATTTTAGATCATAAGCAAATCTATTCAACAACCTATTGTATTCTGACTACCTTCGATCACCTATTACCTAAATACAGTTCATAGTTCAAAGCGAATACTACACAGTACTGTACTACACTCTGCAAACTAAGCTGATAAAAGTAACTATACTGTAAAGTACTTAACCTTTTACAGCATGTACCCAGTCCTATAACCACCTAAGCATACAATCTAACTCAACGCTTCAGAAACCCAACCTGGACATTCATTTCCTGTGTAGCAATGGGTTTTAGGCTTGTAGCTGGTAGGTTGACATAATGCCGCGGCAAAGCTGAGATTACTCCTAGCGATACCTACATTGAGAGTTTCGAAACGCACCGGTGGAGTTTCAGCTGTTGTGCGTGATGGGAGTGCGCTGCAAATCGGATGAAACACAAGTTAGTTCCTCTTGGAGTCTTGGGATCTCTGGCACTTGTACACTAATGATCCAAAAAACTATCTTTTTCGCCCATGATCCTCCTCCGACTGACCTAAAACTACTACCGTTAATTGCCGTCTCCACGACTGAAATAAATACCGGGCACAAAATCCACGCAAACCGGAAAACGAAAAATTCGCTTCGCCTGAATAGCCTTCAACCAAGTGCGAATTGGAAAGAGCGGAATAATTAGCCTTCTATAGATAGCTACGCAGGTGCAAAAGAAATGTTGATTTACCCACATCGAATACTGTACTACACACTTCCATAAACGACGGATTAAGCTTTATAATGGTACGTTGAACTTCCCAAGTTTCCGAATTGAAGGACTAACATAACGTACGCACGAACACCTAAGACATAATTTTTCAACGCCCTCTCGTATTGCAATTCATGGTAATATGAAGGTGGGAAAGCCGAACCCGAAAAGATGCTACCATTCGTTCATTGAGGTTTTTCTGGCTATTTGGGGGTGCTAGTTTAGCACAAATTGTATATACTGTGCACTAGTATTGCAATTCATGGTAATATGAAGGTGGGAAAGCCGAACCCGAAAAGATGCTACCATTCGTTCATTGAGGTTTTTCTGGCAATTTGGGGGTGCTAGTTTAGCACAAATTGTATATACTGTGCACTTGTACAGAATATTAGAGTATTACTTATAGATTAACAAAGTTTTGAAGAATGTGAAGAAAGTCCAACTTCTAAATACTGTGGACGGAGAACAAACTTCGTTTGACAAAAATTTGTAGAAACATTTTGTCGTAGAAAACCCCTATATGCCTATAAGATGGCTTGACAACCAGAAATTCTATCTTGCTGCACGTAGAGGACATCTCTACAGATGGATTGTTGTACAGCGAGTCCACGTTTAATAAAATAAGATATAAAAAAATCGAATACTATCCAGCAGAAAACAATTCGTATTAAATTTACGAATCATATAAATAATAGGTTGATCAACTTGTACGCGAACTAAGGTAAGTCTATTCTTACAAATTTTCCTTATTTGATAAATCTTCAATGAAAGCATAAATGAGAAACTCATCGTACATAATACGATATTCCAG